CGCGTATACGTTACTCATTGTTTACACAGTGCACAGTCATTGTAGGTACGACGGCTAATCAAAATGGTACTTACTTGCGCTTATCCGGATTGTTCAAACCGACTTAAAACTAAAAGTTTTACGTTCTCTCGCGCGAACTCATTCGTGAGTGGTGACTTTCCACGTATTCCCCACTTCTGAGCCTGCTCGCCTGAAGTTATGGTTGATTGCTCTTCGGCTGGATATCAACACACCCATTAACGTAAACTACGCCAGAGCGCGTACACACCTTCACGCACCAGATGCCGTGCGCGCGCTGAAGGCAGTTGGACATAGTGTTGTATTAGAGGTAAAAAATTATATAAATACTGTTCAGTTTCTTGCACAGACCGATCGTTTCGTGTCTTTACACATCAATGTATCGTCACGAGCCGCAGGGTTTAATTTGGATTTGTCTGTGCATGTTTTTTTTACTCTCATAGATTTTGTTACCATTGCCATGCATTATACGACTGATAGACTGCAACGGTTAAAGTTAAAAATCATCATATGTGTTCTACTGAAGAAACAAAGTCACCTACATCTTGGATGCCCTGGGGGTAAGCAGATAAACATAAAATTTTTATTTTTGGGTGAACTATCCCTTTAACAGATATCATATTATCAATGTAGTGATTTTATTGTTTCTACTTTGCAGTTGATCCCAAAAATCCACAAGTGGCCACAAGTAAGTGCCATCTTTCCTAATTCCTCTGTCTTTTCTGTATATGTTGTTGAAAAGTGCAGTGTGTAATTTATGCACCTCAATACCAAATGGATTAAAAGTTTTATTTTTTTTAAATAACACACATCACCCTTAAGACCTATCACCAAGATAGGTTGTTGACTTAAATGTCTGGTATTATTTATTTGCTTTAGCAGAGACCCAAAGTCCTCATCAACCATTCACATCATCCACCACAGAAAGAACAGCAAGAAAGCATCCCACACTTCATGGCACAAGCTCGCCAACCACAGGTATGTATGTTATATTATGGTTGTATGTGTTGACATTGTTTGGGTAGGCCTACATTTACGTTAATTGCATGACACACTCCAGCAACAGGGCATATAGCTTTGACAACAACAAATGAAGTTGTCACAACCAAAACAAGAAGAACCACCAGCCAGCCAACTTTGATGAGCACAACAAAAGAGACGGAGTCTATTACAACAACCAATGAGACAACAACCAGCTACACAAGCAGAGAATATATGACAACAACATCGTCACATACGCTGTCAGGTGAAGCCATTTACTATGATGGGTTAAGGTGCATGGGGCTAACTAGTTAACACAAAAATTAACATTCTGTCATTATTTACTCACCCTTGTGTCATCCCAAGCCAATATGACTTTCTTTCTTCCACAGAACCCAAAAGGAGAAGTTTAGCAGAATGTTCACGCTGCTCTTTTCCATATAGTATATAAAGACCAAGAGCTGTCAAGCTCTTTATTTACTCATGTACACATTCAATTTTCCTATAAACATGTCGCAACAAGTTTGAAAAAGTCATAGAGGTTTGGAAAAACATAAATGATGACAGAATTTCCATATTAATCTTCATTAAGCTAAATCATTGTTTAGGTATAAAAATGTGTTCTAACACTTATTAATCCGGGCTCAGACTACAGGAGTTTTAAAATCCTAACCGATTATGAAATCTGGCTGCAGCACACCCATAAAGAGAATCTTCACAGATTTTCTTCCCTCAAATCGTATACATACACACATTAGCTAGCACGCTAGCAGCTCTCAACACTCACGCAGTACGTTCAAAACTGAGGCGATTTCACCCCAGAGGTTGTCTTTGTCCTTTGACAAAGTGTGGTACGTTTTCGACACATTTTACAGACTGTCGTGTTATTGCAAAACTTCCACACGCAATTTCCTCTATCTCCACTATTTAACGGACCTGTACAGCAGCTTGTTTTGTGGTCGCGCATTGACTATTGTGAAAGTTCTATTGTAATCATAGCCGGAGGTGCAAGATTCGATCTGTAAACGCCTCACATTACCCGATAATCCGCGCCGAACATCGGAACCGACCGAGGTCCTTCACAAGACTTTTTCTCAGATTCTCTGTAAATCAGAAATAAATCGGCCTAAAACTCTTGTAGTGTGAGCCCGACTTTAGAGAGGAATTAAACTAAAAAGTAAAACCCTTTCTTGCACATGGTACATCAGCGTAATACCCGAGTCTTATTCACTAACCATCACAATCCAGTTTTTTCCCGAGTGCAGGGCTGAAATTGCACTGCGTCGTCAATATTTAAAATAACTAGTGAAGTCACTGGCATTCCTTTTCATGCAAATACGCCTCCTTTAGTCTCAATATAGACTGTTCTTTATTCGCAAAAATTGCCTGGCACAATTTGTACTGCACTATTACCACCAATAAAAACCTGTCTGTTTACTTACGGTAATTAACAGATATGGGTGTCATGCCATAACATATTTTTAATACGACTGAGTTTATATTTAATGTGAATTTAACATTGAAAGTTAATGTGAATAAAAACATTGCAAGTTAGGCTACTAATCATAATATTTTCATTGTACAGAAAGAAAGCAAAGAACATTTACATTATCAAAGAACATTTTCACTGACAGTCTAGTTCAAGCACTCTCAAAAACTCCCATTAAAATCACTGAAGCTGTTTACACTATGAAATTAATATCTTACAGATTCGTACACACATTTGCACTTTGTTGTTTCTGACGAGAGAATTCGCCAGAAAGAGGTATTCAGGCAGCGAGCGAGTGAAGCGGCACTTTAGCGATGACTCATCTGAACACCTCTGATTGGTCATTGCATTCATAAGCTCAACAGCATCGTTTGTGATTGGTTATAATGTGCAGCGCTGTAAAACCGCATCTGTATCTGGCTCAGCGCCAGCCAGCGAACGCAAATTTGAATTTAGCAGCTGATGATATGACGCACTGAACGTTCTAATCACGCCGGTGTGATTGTATTAAATATAGAAAATATTAATCGCCTATTTTTTGTCTTTTGGAAGCTGCATTCAAAATCCA